GTTCTGTTTTTACATCTACTCTCCTTTTTTCTTAAAGAAAAAGCCCTGTGCATAACATCGAGTGCTACCGAGTTAATCTGTTCTAGCATAAGTTGGGGTCTGTGTTGCTTAGTTTAGCTTCCCAGCTTATATCTTAGGACTTGGTTTACTTGGTCCCATGTTTTCACTTTATGTTTTTTTTTATTGAAGTGAAATTTGTGAATGCTCCCTCGTGACTAATCTCTTTAATGTCGTCTGTGGCTCCGGCGCATACATTAATGAACTCAATTAATTTGTGATCTTAGTAATTTTTTTGATATGGTGATATTTCTTATCAGATCATCATTGTTATTGATATGAGTCTAGTGTATCTCCAGTCCTAGTAGGCTCTATTATTTGCTGTTTAAATTGAATTTTGTCAGAGATTTAAAAGCTCGCGTGAGTGTGAGTTTTTCATCAGATCCGCCTCCTGGTGTTATTACTGCAAACAATATTATTTCTAGATTCCTCCATTTAGTGGACTAGTTTGAAAATCCCCCAGGCGCAAGATGTTGGGTGGCAGAGCTGGAAGTTCCAACAGGGTTCAATTTTTACAGCTGTTCCTGATATGTGCTGGGGATGTTGCATCCGGAGGCTTTGTAACTATCACAATGACAGGTTTGTTCTCGACCTTACTGCAAAACTAAAACTTCCACTACATCATTTGAGCATTTAGCAGTTCTGCCAAACAAGTGACTCTCAATGTACAGGCCAACCCCCCCCTTTTGCCTGTTCACTCGTCACATCTGTATAGTTGTAACCTTGGATCCATATTTCGTTGTCCAAGTGATCCTTTTATGTGGGTCTCAGTGAAAGCCGCGAACATTGCCTTTGCCTCTGCAAGCAGTCCACGGATGAAAGGTATTTTGTTGTTTGTTGCTGGCTTTAGACCCTGTATATTTGCAAAGAAGAATGTTATCGGACTGGTGGTATTGTTGGTACTGGGGGGGATTTTTTTTCCGGCATTAGTATCTGTATCTGTTGGTTTGGAGTGGAGGCCATCGACTGTGGTTCCACTCCAGAATGACTGGATTTGGTGTACGATTTCTGCCATTTCCTGCCAGTTTTTTTTCCTTCCTGCACTAAAAAACCTCTCCCTCTTGAGTGGCTGTGGCTACCCAGGTTTTCCCATGGCCTGGATGTTTTGTATCTTTTTGTCCCCTTTAGATGGTATGCCTGCAATTTAAGTTATAGCACAGTCTTTCCTTACTGAAGAGGTACACAGTTCAGGGTGAAAAAAGCTTACAGGAAGGGAGTTTGCATTTTCCTGTTGTCATATGGGCATGGCATTTCCTAGGGTGGTCATAGTTGCACGTCCCATCTGTTTTTCCGATTTCCCATGCCAGCAGATACCGAGTGCATAGTATGTGCACAGGCTTGGTTTCCGTTTGCCTTGGTTTCTGTGACTGTATTCCCTGTTGGTGCATGTTTCCCTGTCTTACTTCTATCCTCCCTAGCACCAACAATGGAGCTCCCACCATTTGTTTTTGGTAATATATCCTCACTATTGCTAGTGGAGTCCTCTTGTTTGCTATTTCCTGCGGTATTTCTAGTTTTGCAATATTGGTTTTATCTTATCTTTGACTACACTTGTTTCCCTACTATGGCTCCTGTCCCCTATGAGGTCATTCAATATGTATTCCTTTCTGCTATAATTCCCGACTAACCTGGCAAAATCTCCAGCTTCAACCATTACTGTCTCCCAGGACAGCATCTCCCAGCTTCCCATTACTGTCACCCAGGACCAGCATCTCCAGCTTCACCATACTGACTCCCCAGGACAGCACCTCCAGCTCACCATTACTGTCTCCCAGACAGCACAACCTCCAGCTGTCCCCATTACTGTCTCCCAGACAGCACTATCACCCCCATTTACTGACTACCAGGACACATCTGCCACCTTACAACAGTTTTCTGACTACATGGCCAGTATCAAGGGCAGTAACCATTCCGCCCGGACCTTATTATGTTTCCCATCTGTTTGTAGAAAGGCTTCCAGGTTTTCTATGAAAGCACTTTGATGTTGACCTCTTTTAATACCCATGTGATTTTATTCCACAGATTTATCCTCATATTTGGCATAGACCCATAAACACGTCCCTGATTTAATAAACTGCTTGTAGCTAGTTCTTGGATACTGCAACAAGGGGCGTGACACCAAATTTCCACAGAAAGGTCAATTTATGCATGTGAAGCCCGTTTGTTTGACTGACCACAGACTACACACAGCTTCATAATGATTTGAATGTTGATTTACTGCAATTCTACTAGAACCTCTTGAATATTCTATTAATAACCCTGCTAGGTGGTGCACAACGAAAACGTTTGAAACAAGTCCCAGGTTCGGACCAGTCAAGTTCGGACCAGTCAAGGGTTTCGACCAGTCTATCTGATCTGATCAGTGGGTCACTTATTTAAACCATACTGGACGGTGATTTGAGCTAACACATGAAGGATCTACTGGAAATTATCTACCGAGTAATATGTGATTGATTGATACAAAAGTATAACCTTTTTTTTTTTTTTTTGGGCCCCCCCGTGTTGAAAGCCGTGACTGCTGGCACTCCTACAAATGACGAACGGTCGAAGCCTCCACCTTTGTTTATCAATCGCTGTATCTAGCTTCTCTATTTTTTTTTTCCGTCTCCACCACATTAAATGCTATATTATCACTATAGTCCTGGTGCAAATTTTGGAGAAGGCCCGCTTTTTTCTGTTGTAATATTGCTTCTCGTTGTGTATATTGCGAACGCTGGTAACTACAGGGTATATGAAATTCACAGTACGTCTGGTATTTCAAGAAAAAAGAAACTAATGAAAGTCAACTCCCACTCCACTAAGTACCATTTATAATACTGGTTAGTTGCTACTACAACACTGTATTCTGCTATTCACTGGTATCACTAGATTATAGCGAGTACACTAGCAGGCCAGAAGATTATTAAAAAACAGCTGACCTGTGGTAAGTTTCTGGCGACTCTGGCACCTGCCTCTATGCTTTAACTTCATTTACAAATTCACCTGTTTTTCCAAATGAAACACTTAGCCCTTTATCACAATATACTAGGGAGCCACTGTAGTATACACTATACACTATGAATACTCAATGCTTTCAGGGAGACCTTCTTTCCTCTGACACAAAGTTCAATATTATTATTTTTCCATCACGGGACAATGGCCTATGATTCCACTCGCAGTAAACCTCTGCAGTAAGTGCACACAATTCTCCTTTTTACCAGTATATAATGTTTTTCCGCCCAAGATTGGTTCCAGGCGCTAGAGGGATGTATCGTATAGGATTGATGACACAAATTAAAGTTCTAGCACGTAAGAGCGACCGTGAAAACACCAGAAAACCGGGAGCACATCATTGCTGATGCTGAGTGCCTCTAGTGAAAATCCAATTAGTACCCCTTCCTTAATTTTTTGGATTAGATGTTGGGGGGGGGGGTTATTTATGTTGGTTAATTTGCCCGAGTTGGTTAGTTTCTGGTATACCACTTGCTTCAGAACATCATCTTGTCTGGTGGGTCGAACATCAAAGGCAGGTTGTTGTTTGCTTCCTCCTCTAAGGTAAATTGTTTAGAGGGCTCTACCCAGTTTAACCCTTTGGCAGTTCTGGTCGTATATTTACATCTTACGAGCCAACCTATTTTTTTTTTTTTTTTTTTTTTTTTTTTTTTTTGACATCCAGTATATATACATGTACTCACAAATTCTAGCGGCTTCAAATCAAGCAGGAGAAACCTGGTAGGCCCACATGTGAGAGAATGGGTCTGTGTGGTCAGTGTGCACCATATAAGAAAAAAAAATTGCAGCATGCAGTGCAAAATGAGAAAGAAAAAAAAAACTGACCGTTTTTTTTTAATTAAAATGCCGACTTTGTGGTCTATTTTTGTATAGTATTTATGGTTGTATTCTCGTTTTCTTGGTCTCAATTGATAGAATGGAAAACATGTTATAGAAACAGAAGTGATTTTGATTGGTTTTACTATGAAAAGAACCTGGAAATGGAGCTCAAAATAGGAGAAATGTTTGATTTTTGCCGATGTTCAAAAGTAAACAAATGATGTCATTTTCCAATAAATGTCCAACTAGCCATTCTGATATGAAGTCATGAATGGATTGACATTATTTATACATTTATTACAATATTGCAGTTGTCTGAATAACAGTAAATCTTCTATTTTTTGTTTGAATAAAAATTCAAAATAGAAAGCAAGAGTAATATCAGTGGGGCCAGGAGACGTGTCTGATGAACAAAGAAAATGTTATTTTAGAGCCAGGAATGTCTGCATTGTTCATTCTGAACCCTATTTTGAAATTGTTATATTTTTTAATTTTTGTGAAATTGGCCAAATTGCAAATTTCTGACCACATTATTGGGTAGTTGAAATCGGTAAATGGAGAGTTTCTTGTACTCAATCGATAAAAAAAATGGAGTTCTAAAGAAACAGAAATGAGTTTGGTCAACTGGAACAATGGAATTAGCTGAAAATAGGGCTCAAAGTGGGCAAAATCGCCGATTTGCAAATATTGCTGAGGTTGCTAACTTCGTGAGTGCATAATTCCGTTAGTTTTCCATCAAATTCTGTTCCTTTGGTGTCATTGCAATTGGGAAAAGATTCTCTATCATTTCATAAGAAAAAATAATTTTTTTTTTGGAAATTTTGCAACACCAGGAGACACCTCAGGATTTGGGGTTGCGACAGTCAAGGGGTTAAATATTCTTGGACATGCTGCCCACTGCCTAGGTACAACACCCAACACATCATCAATATATCTTAAACAAGTATTGTCTTGTGAAATTGCTACTGAAATGGCCTTTCTATAAATGTTTCAAGTACAAGTTGGCTAGCACATCACTCAAAGATGACCCAGTTGCTAGGGCAAACTTATGGTTTTAACTAACACTCTCAAACGAGAACAAACTGAAGGGGACACACGACTGTCAGTGAAGTCAGAAGTAAGCAGTATGAAGCTCATGTTGCTAATGCTTCAGTTCCACTGGAAATTGATTACCCAATCAATTAATACCTGAGTAAACAGGGAAGTTAAGTCTAGGCTGGCCATCTTATTGCTAATGCAAATGTTTTCAAGTATAACAGTGAGGTCACCAAAGTGCCAAAGATGGGATATGCTAACAGTTCCCAGCAACTATGAGAGACTGATATCATGCACCCATCAACTTGTGTGGTAATATTAATTCCTGAAATGATAAGCCTCAAGAAAACATTGGGTATAATTACAAGTCATAGGTAGGCCACAGATGCATTCCTGTTGGGGACTGATGGGCAACAGGTGGCATAATTTCTAACCCTGTTGCATGTTGACCTCATATGTGTACTAGTAAAGAAATTCACTGTAATCAATGTCTTTATCACTGCTTGCCAGTGTTATGCATCCAGTTTTCAATTTCTAAATTTATCAATTTTATTTCAACATACCTGTGAAGTTGAATATATTCACGTGGACGAGACAAAAGATAAAGAAATCTGTCAGCCAATTTATTTTTTCCAACACCCTGGTTTCCAACGAGCAGGAGGTGGTCACCAAGTAGCCAGTCTTGAAGCATATTCTCCAGAACAACAACATGCTGTAGGAATATTATTATTCATTCAATGAAATTAAAACAAATAAAAGAAGTTCAGCTATTGATTATTTTTACAACAGTCCTTTCCCACTGGGCTTGATGACCCAAGGGAGGAAACATTCACTATCAATTATTCAATAAATATTTTACAAGAAGTGTCAAGCCATAATACACTTACATGTACCTTCTGGGATGATCTCTATCCATCCTTCTATCCACTCTGGATTTATACACTCTCTCTTAGCCCAGTCTACTCCATCCTTTCTAAATTACCAAACAATCTTAATCATTTCTACTCTGCCCTCTGAAGTATACCTTATATACCCTCACACCATTCTTCCAATTACTGTTCCTAAATCTTTTCATAACATTTACACCATATGTTGCTCTCAAACATTTCATATCAATTGTCTCTGGCCTTCTACACACTGCAACACTCAACACCATGCCTTCCATCCATTTTAAACAACTGACACTTACATAATCTACTCTAGCACATTTTAATTTTTGCCTCCACTGTTTTTTCACTCATCTAGTCTACAATTCATGTCATTTTCCATAAATCCATCTCAATAAATTTATATTAATGCAAAAATTAGAAAACCATACCTTCTGCATTATGATAAATAATTTTTCTACAAAAATAAAAAACCATCAATCTTTTAAAACTGATATCAGTGCACTACTAATTTCAGAATTTAAACATGGATATTTAAAAACTATTTTTTTTTTTCAACAAACCAGCCATATCCCACTGAGACAGGGTGACCTAAGAAGAGAACCAGTGTTTTTGATGTATTAATACACCAAAATTCTAGCGGTTTCAAATCAAGCAGGAGAAAGCTGGTAGGCCCACATGTGAGAGAATGGGTCTGCATGGTCAGTGTGTGCTGTATAAAAAGAAAATTGGGGAGCCAGTGGTGCATTGTGGGAACACCATTTCAGTAGTCCTTGTTCAGCATGCCTAGCTGTTAGAATTATCTGACTCCCCGGCGAATCTGAGACTCTTCTCTTCCCATGTGATAGCTCTAACACAGATAGAAGTGTCAGAAGATAAATTTCATGGTTTTGAGGAGTTTGTGACTGAAAGCTATGCCCAGGATACCAGAAAGAAGAAAATAAGGAAGAAAGGAAATAAGAAAAGAAGAGAGTAAGGAAGAAAGAAAGTAAGGATGGAAAAAAAGGAAGGAAGAAAGGGAAGGAAGAAAGGAAGGAAGAAAGAAAAAGAAAGTAAGAACAAAAGACAGATAGAAAGAAAGAGAGAAAGAAAGAAGTAAGGAAGGAAGGACACCCAGATGACCGTCAACCTAGGATAATCCAAAAGAGTCAGACAAAGTGACTCATGTATTTCCAGGTGAGTTGGTGGGGAAGACGGTAGCAGGTGGTAGTGTAATACTGTGACATGTACCCAGGCTGGTAGCCTGGGTACATGACTCAACCACAAAGCCAGCTTCATTCAACCACCCACACACCACAATAATCTGCACAACCACAACAACCTGCATAATCACAACAACCTGCACAATCACAACAACCTGCATAATCACAATAACCTGCACAACCACAACAACCTGCACAACCACAACAACCCACCAACAAAATGCAGAGACACTTGTTTTATGTGTGAGGAGTGTGAAACAGGAGTGTGTATAACACCATGTTTCAAAGAGTTCCACAAGCTGCAGCACTTCTAGGGACATGTCCAGTGACTATATGTGTATATATATTATAGAACAGTAGTAATAAAAAAATTTTTGATTGTTGGTTTGTGTAAACAAGTTTTGTAAACAATATAATAATAATGTTTGTGTGGTTATTGTGTTGCATACAATGAGTGTATATATGTACACTGCAATTTACTTTGGTCTCACATGCCACATTAGTTACTTGAAAAAAAAAATTGAAAAGACAAGAAACCTTCAAATGGGAGTAAATAGAAGAATACTGGATGACCAGCATTCACTGCTGTTGCCATATTCGTCTCATTTTCTGCCAGCTTTACACCTCCATATCTTGGTAAGTACTGACCGCAAAAAAAAAAAAATTGGTGCTTAAAACAATCAGCAAATTAATCTTAACATTTTGGTAAGAATTTTTTTTTTTTTTTTTTTTTTTAATATTTTGCAACATACAGAGACATTTCAGGATTTGGGGTTGCGACACTCAAAGGGTTAAAAACTACATATCTTCTGTAAATCAAACAACTGCCCTTTCTATCATGGAATAATTTGACTTGCAAATTATTTCTCAGCAATGCATTATGCTGGTAGACCTCAGATACTTATGGAGACACAACCACAAACAGTAATTTTTACCACTGAATATATCATTGCTTAGTTAATCTTTATTTAATTTTAAGCCTGTCCATAATGCTCTGCATACAAGGGGCTTTTGGCATGTACACCCAATCACGATATTTCTTTGTACAACGATGTATCATGTCCAAATAAAAATAAATAAATAAATAAATAAATGTCTTCTTCCACCAAGTGATGGCTCCTTATTTAGCCTTTGACATTAAATACTTCTGTTATAATGAAATATAAATATCACAAATGTCTGCAAATACTGCATTTCCCTACATCCCTGCATTTAGTTTAAATAGTATAATCACACAAAAGAAAGCAGCAGAGCTACCAACTGTCTTCATGGAAAAATTTGATAAATTTTGGCTCCTGGTGTGATGGATTGTGGTGCAAATGTTGATGTGTAAAATATTCAAATAAGTTACCGTATTTCTAGGTTGGCAGTAGGTTGGTAGACATCAACCGCTCAGGGAGGTACTACCGTCCTGCCAATGTAATAAAGTAAACCCCACCCCCTCCTGCTGAAATTGGTCACATGTGGTGTATAACTCTTTGGAGATGAGCTTCAGAAATTTTCATTGTTATTATTGATAATAGTGTGCTTATTACTATTTGTGTAAACTATACTTTAAACCAATTCCTCCCTTTTCCTCTCTGCAACGGAAAACATAGTCAGAGTATTATTGATACATAAACAGGTCATCTGTAGTTGATTTGCTAAAAAATTATTACTGTGGAAGCTGTAAGTCAACTAAAGAAAGGTATTTGAATTGTGACCATTCTCGAAGGTCGATTTTCTATTATTGGTGGTTCCAATATGTTTTCACGAGAATTCTTGTTCATTTGTAATATAGGGTATAAAGTTTATTCTTTTTAATTTGATTGTTTTTTCTAATATTAGTATTCAGTGTAATAATTAGTCTGAGTAGAAATAAGGTTTGTAGAGGTGAGCTGACCTGTTGTAGGAGGGTTGGGAAGAGCTCGGATACCCGAGTGGGAATTCTGTTCAAACAATGGAGGGAAGCAGGAGGAGAAGAAATTTGTAAACTAGCCTCCACTCCCATTTCTTTTGTCTTGCTTGAGCAGTTTTTTTGACTGTTCATGTACACCTCTCTGCTGCTAAGAAGTGAGTTCATACCCTGTTAAGGAGTATGTATAAGCAGAGAAGCTCAGTATTAATAAACTGAAGTCTTTGTGTTATAGCCACTGGGGGAGACAGCCTCCAGCCAACAGTTGCCATGCTACCCTAAGCAGGGATATTAGCTGTGTATGTTTCATAACTTGCCTTATTATTATAGCCTAAATGATACTGTATATTGTATGATTAGAGTAAACTGTAAGAACAGTGATAATTTAAGGCATGAATGTGGTTAAGTATGACCTATGTGACTATGCTAGCTTTGTTCTCGTCACTCTAGCCTATTTTTACCCTAACTCTTTTTAAATTGTTTGTATTTTTTTTTAATAATAATATTACAATTCTTTCCTTAGTTATCAGAGATGTGAGTAATACCATTTCTCTGGTGCATGTAAATCTTTTCTTAACCTGTGATCTACCCTAAAACTTTAGCTCTAACCTATATCTTATCTATCCTATCTTTTATGTTAGAATTGTTTTACTAAATATCTGCTATTTATGTTTAGCTATGTTTATTTTCTGTAATTTGCATGTCACATGTAACTTAACCCTTAACCTAGTTTGTACCTTAAAATTGCATAAAGTACAGTGGACCCCCGCATAACGATGGCATCACATAGCGATTATTTCGCATACCGCTTACTTTAATCGCAAAATTTTTGCCGCGCATACCGATTAAAAACCCGCTCACCGATTTTCGTCCGAGACGCGTCCAATGTGCGCCCTCAGCCAGCCTCACATGTGCCGCCCGTGCCATTGTTTACCAGCCAGCCTCCGCGCTAACATCCAAGCATACACTCGGAATATTTCGTATTATTACAGTGTTTTCGGTGCTGTTTCTGGAAAATAAGTGACCATGGGCCCCAAGAAAGCTTCTAGTGCCAACCGTACACCAATAAGGGTAAGAATACCCATTGAAATGAAGAAAGAGATCATTGATAAGTATGAAAGTGGAGTGCGTATCGCCGACCTAGTCAAGTTGTACAAGAAACCCCAATCAACCATCGCTACTATTGTGGGCACCAAAAAGACAATCAAGGAAGCTGTTCTTGCCAAAGGTTTAACTGTGTTTTCGAAACAAAGATCGCAAGTGATGGAAGATGTTGAGAGACTCTTATTGGTGTGGATAAATGAAAAACAGCTAGCAGGAGATAGCGTCTCTCAAGCGATCATATGTGAAAAGGCTAGGAAGTGCATGACGATTTAATTAAAAAATGCCTGCAACTAGTGATGATGTGAGTGAATTTAAGGCCAGCAAAGGTTGGTTTGAGAGATTTAAGAAGCGTAGTGGCATCCATAGTGTGATAAGGCATGGTGAGGCTGACAGTTCGGACCCACAAAGCGGCTGAAAAATATGTGCAGGAATTCAAGGAGTACATAGAAACTGAAGGACTGAAACCTGAACAAGTGTTTAAATTGTGATGAAACAGGCCTGTTCTGGAAGAAAATGCCAAGCAGGACCTACATTACTCAGGAGGAAAAGGCACTCCCAGGACATAAGCCTATGAAAGACAGGCTTACTCTTCTCATGTGTGCCAATGCTACTGGTGATTGCAAAG